TTATCTATCCTCAGGATCCTTTCTTAAGTTTCTGGCACCAGCAGCAGCAATGGAAAAGGATAAGGTGCCCCCTCCAAATGCTGATGATGGTAAGTTAAGTATTCTACTTTTAATTGATTATACTGTGCATCGCACTCCAAAGATTCCTTGTAACATGATATTCCCTGTTTCTTTTTTGGTCATAGCAGTTCAGTCAACATCTACCTCCAGTGGGGCGTCAATATCTACCTTGAGTGAGGCGTCAACATCTGCCTCCAGTGGGGTGTCGACAGCAACATCTTCTCATCATGAAGATGACACGTCAACCCCTACCTCCAGCAGCACTACCACGACTACAAAAGGTTTGATCACATCGGACGACCCTGCACAATGGCCAAATGTCCTAAATGATAGTGAAAAGTGTGCACTAGTAACAAGAGGACCAATACAAGAAACAGATATAGTCTTTCCGCAGAATACTGAAGGAAGACTATTCTGGTTTTAATTGTTCTTTATATGTGTGATTTATTCGTTTTTGTATGTCTTTTATATTCATATTACTAACTAATAACTAACTTTGAATATAACAAAAATGCGAAGTTGTTAAATAAAAAACTGTTTACATTTAGGAATATTTTTGTTATTTATAACACAATGGTGATGAAAGCTGGTTCGAGGGGCCCCCAGTGAATTTTTGCCTAGGGCCCCCACAGACACTAGAATCGGCCCTGCTCAGCCACCATTGATTTTCATATCAAATTAGCGTGTTAATAAAATAAGCTATCATGGCTTATACTTGTATATCTAAACAGAATCATGAAAGCCTGTTGGTAGAGTCAGGCACACAAGTCCGTTTGAGTGTGTGCGCCGGTGTCTGAACGCTCACTCACTGCTAGCTGTGTAGCTAACTGTTAGGCTACTTAGCTTGCATTGTTATGGATCTAAAGGTAGCAAAAGCTAACTTTCATAGCACAGCTTTACTTCTCACTTAACACAATAAAGAAACAGACCGTATAGTACAGCACAAACAACACAAATGATCAATACTTACATATATTTTCACTTGTAGTGAATAATAATAGTAGTAGTAGTTATAATAATTGAAATGCTGGTTCTTCTGGGGGTGTTCTATCCACTCTCAGCCAGTGGCATAGCCACCATAGGGCCAGGGTGGGCCCAGGCCCACCCAGTTTACTCATTGGCCCACCCTGAGAAAGCTTCGGTGTCATTTAAAATATTTTATTATTATTATAAAAAAATGTATTCACCCATTGAGAATATCCAAGAATTCAAAGTGAAATTCAAGTGAACAAATATCGAGTTTAATTAATGTTGTATGTGCTTTATCCTCTGAACCAAACTCATTTACGGTAAAAACTGATTGTTGGTTCCGGCGCGCACCATAATAACGTGAGAGAGGCAGAGACCTGCCTGCAAAATAAATGATGGCTCAAAGTGGGGGACTCCAAGAAGAGCCCCCACTGCCCTCATCTAGCAGCGATCTACACGATCATTTTCTGATAACGATGAAATAGCCACGTCTCCCTCTCCCCACGTCTCCCTCTCCCCACCTCTCCTGCTGCTGGGCTGTCAGAAGAAAAACAATGTTAACGGAAACTCTGCCGCACGGTTGCCTCAGAGCCCTAGAGAGATAATTATTAGATATTATCTCTCTAGGGCTCTGGGTTCCCTCGTCCCTTGGAAGAGGCGGAGAGGTGGGTGTTTTTCATCTGCTGGTGGACAGTCCGGAGAGATATAGCCTACACAGGGTTGGGTTGTAACGGAATACATGTAACGGCGTTACGTAATCAGAATACAAAAATCAAGTGTATTCAGCTGGCGTTACATTTGAAAAACGAGTAATCTGATTACAGTTACTTTCGTAAACCTGAAGTGAATACATTTTGGAATACTTATTGGAATTATTGGTGGAAAAGTTTCCTCACAAAATGTAATATTCATTACCGGCAGAACTGTGTGCACAGCGCTGCAGCATGTCTGTGAGCGAGAGAGATGCAGCGTGTCTGTGAGGCCCCGCCCCCGCACGCAGATGAGAGAGAGAGATCTCTTTTAAAATAATTTGAAAGTTAGAAACAGAGATGGTTAGATAAAATGTGCAAGATAACGTTTATGTAGCATTTCTTTATTGTCGAAATTATGACATTTATAACGGGATCAAATCAAAGTGAATGGCCTGCTGCTGCTGAATGCATGGGGCAAGTGACTGGAAACAGTTTTAAAAGTTATTACATCGTTTCAGATAATAATAATAAATAATAATGATAATTAATTCTATTTAGGGGCGCCTTTCAAAGCACCCAAGGACACCTTACAATTCATAACATATTCTAAGGAAAGGTTTTAAGACAGTACAAAGAATGCAGTCCGGCTGATGTGTTTTTTATGTGTGGTGCAGATGAGAGAGCTGTCCAGAATGACACCAAGATGTTGTGTTTGTGCTCTTGATAAGCCATTAAAACAATAAAATACGTGTCTCCTGTTCACCAAAACATACCCATCTGTTATGGAAAAAGAAAGTATTCCAAAAGTATTCTAAAAGTAATCTGCCACCGGTACCGGCGGGGATTGTTGTTATCTTCTGATGCGCAGAAGAAAAATCTGGCCCACCCTATTTTTTACAGGCCCACCCTAAAGTACATTTCTGCCTACGCTACTGCTCTCAGCTACCGCACCGCAGCGCAGCTGCACTGTACAATCGCTGAAGGACTGGGCTGTCACTCAAAAACTGAGTAGCCAATGGGGACGCACCCCTGAAAGTCCCGCCCACCTGGGAGGTTTGTGTCAGAATCTCAAACAAAAAGTGAAGGAGCGTAAACGAGAAGAGCTGCAGTGAGAGCAAAAGTCTGATCATTGAGAAAGAAGAAACAAGAACTGCAAACAAAAAGATATGTTAAAACAAAGAAAAAAGACTTATAGTTTACATGATTACACAAATGATTTGTTTGCAACTTATAGTTTTATTTTTGAAATTAATTTTATTTTGCTTGACTCCGTTTTTTTCTTCTTTTAAACTCATAGTTTTGCTTTATTCTGAGAAAGTGTTGCTTTATCTTTATGATACAAAACTAATCCCATAGTGAAGAGGTCGAGCGAGGGAGAGAGAGCACGTGCAGCGGTCTGCTTGCGCACGGAGCAGGAGTTTTATCAGAGAAAATATATTTCTCTGTGCTCAAACATTTTCAAGTGCGCGCTCAATAGCATTTTCTATGCTCAACATGTTTCATTGCGTGCTCAGGATAGAGGCACAAATATAACGCCATAAATGAGGGCATGAGATAAGTTTGTGCACAGATGGAAGGCTGACAGGCAGTTAGGCCATCCAGTTATTTTAGCCGGGCCGGCTAAAATGATTGGTCGTGCTTTTTACAGTACTACGGCTTCCACAGATTACATTTTTGTATGGATTTTTTGTCAAAGCACTTAAGATATTCATTGCTATCGGGACGTTAAGAGCATTCCATGGAATATAACAACAAGTGTATCTCGAGTCGGTTTCTCAAACTTACCTACCCCACCTTTAAGGCACTCAAAATCAATGTTTTAAAAAAAAACCTACATTTCTTTATCCATATCACCTTTCTTCATGTAATGTGGTTTGTTTCTCCAAATGAAGTTTAGATTAATTTGGTTAATGGGTTTAATCAGTTTGTTTGGAATGGCATTAGAGTAGGCTGGGTAAATGCATCTTGACAAGGATTCCATCATTGTCAAATATATCCGGCCAAGTATTGAAAGGTTTCTTTGGAGCCATGAATTTAACTTAGCCTTGCATTCCTTTAATTTGTTTTCAATGTTCAAAGACTTTTAAGGTAAATTCCCAGGTATTTTATTTCTGATTTGATTGGAATATTACAAATGTCTTTATGTGGAGTATCATGTATGGCAAGAAGTTCACATTTTTTTATATTTAAAGTCAAGCCTGACGCTTTGGAGAATCTTTCAATTTTAGTAATAGCTTTTGGAATCTGATTTTTATCCTTTAGGAATAATGTTGTGTCATCTGCAAGCTGGCTAATGAGAATACTTGTACCAAATACATTTAGGTTTTTGATGTCATCACAATTTTCAATGTAAATCGCTAACATTTCTGTAAATATGATAAATAAGTACGGAGAAATAGGACAACCCCGAGGAATCCCCACATTAACCTTATATATATATATACATATAACAGATATATATATATATATATATATTTAGCTATACTATTTAAAAATGTCTGACAGTTCTCACTAGAACATGTGACTGACTGTAAACTGACTGTAGAATTTAAGGATTTCTGAGGAAATCCTTTTTTCGTCTGTTGTTTCTACATTATAAACCATTAAAGATTTGATACTATTTCTAACCTGCCTTCTTTTTTGAAGACCACATAAGTGTGCCGAGTTATTCTCCCCTTCCTCTATCCATTTAGCTCTGGATCTAATAAAGGCCCCTTGTGCTCTTTGAGTGTAATCTAATGTAGGTTGAAGGCTAAGTATTTTCTGTGTGTCTTCTGCAGAAGGGTCAGGTTTATTGCAGTAAATATTTAGTTGTTTAATTATGTCTAGTCCGTTACTTTGGAGTTCTTTTGTATAATGTTTCCTAAATGAAATTGAGAGTTGGTATACTTTATATTTAAGGAACTCCCATTTGTTGATGGGCGTTGTTAGCTCTTCAGAGTTTAAAATGTCAATAATCAGAGATTTAATCTTTTGGCAATAATCTTTATTTTTAAGCAGACTGGAGTTAAACTTCCAATATTTATTTGAGCGTGGTCCTTTATTTGCATAGCTAAGCTTAAGTTAAATGTATTCAGGCAGACCACAGTCCTCCAAAAAGCTTTCCTTCAGGGGTCCTTCCAGTTAGCGCTAATGCTTATTAGCCATATTGCCACACTAGCTGCTACGTACGCAGTCAGTGTTTATGGTAGCTCTCTGCTGAGAATGAACCCACAATATGTCAGGTTTGTTCTATTTATTTTACAAATACATTCAAACACAGACCCCAACCTTCAACATATACGTCAACGTGTCTTACTTTGATAGCTGTAGCTGCATTCGTCGGCTGTTACGTTTCAATACATAGGCACATTTTTTTGTTTTTTAAGCTAACCCAGCTAGCTAGCCTCCGATAACGCAACGTGTCAACTCCTTACAAACCTGGTGGTTTATAGTTACAGGGCTTATATCTAAGAAAACCGGATGCAATCTTTCATTGAAATGAGGACTTGTATCTGTCACAACCCCAGTCTTAAAACGGTCTACTTTTAGAACTAGCTAAAGCTGCTCGCTAACGTTACCGCCCACTGCGATGGCTATTTGTGGAAAGCGATTGTAGACGAGTCAGATTTGTGTATTTCTTATGTTAAAATTAGTATATAATGAATGTGGCTTGTCATACATGCACTATGCCGAAATAATAATTGTCTCAATCAGGATCCATAATTCGTTCATTGAAGCCCCATGGTGCGTTTGGTTTCGCTTCATTATTTAAAGTGGTAGATTTTTGAATGGGGTTTGGTTATGCATCTCTGGCAAAACATCGGGGAATTGGGCTAGTGTTAGCTAACTTAGTCGGACTTGGTCCTTCCTTGTCAAATAGCATTAGCATTGTTCAATAAAGTAAGATGTCGAAGTAAACAATCAAACCTTGTATTGCAATTTAACTAACCTGGCAGAAGCTGTTTGCCATAGAGTGGACTTTGCCAGGTCACAACTTCCTGTAAGCGTAAGTTATCCAACTAAATGTTTGCCAACTGAACATAAATAAATACCTACTTAATCCTAACAAGTTGGTTTTAGTAACATGATTAGCTTATGTAAACATATGTCCGTCTGTGAATGCTAGCAGCTGTAACTGACAGCAACTGAGCTTTTGTCCTTCATCCAGCCGCAGCCAGTTTTCTTTCCCAAACCAGCTGCTTTGACGTAACTGTGTTGATTTGCACTCGGTCTAAAGTTCAAGTCAAGTGTATCATTTGATTTAGTCAATCCTATCAATGTTGTCGGACGCTTAACATACCCGTCCCATGTTCATATAATAGCAAAGTGTTGCATAGTGCGTATCTAGTTGAGGTTAGCTGAGATGCTAAGCTACGAGTATCAGGCCCTTACAAAGAAGCATGGGTGGAGGAAGTATTCCTATTTACTTAGGATGACTAACGCCACAGTCATAATACTCCTGTATGGAAAATGTTACTTATTTAAAAGTATAATCAAGAAAAGTAACCCATGTAAATAGTTGTTTTACTTTTCAAATAATTTTAAAGGGCTGGGGCACTGATTATATGACCTGAGGTATTGTGTGCTACCAAACAAAACAGCTGAAGTTTCCACATCATCTTTGACCTACTGCCTGTGAGGCAAACTCTATCCTTTAACTTAAATGTAAAATACTTCTTCCAGTTCATCATTTTGACCTGATCAAGATTATGTAGACTTTATTTATATGCAAGACTGTTGCAAACCTTGAGTCAAGTGTAGCTATCTAAGGAGTGGCTCATAGGAGTTTGAGGTTCACTGTCGAAGGGACACTTATGCTTTAAAGAATTGTGTAAAAAGCATCTTCATTGTTAGGTTGTCTTATATTTACTATGAGGTATACATGTGTAGAAAGTGTGGAAACGTATCATACAATAATGCAAGTAAACCATTCAAATAAAAGCCAGATGACAATTAACCAAAGCCCTAAAAGACATCAGAGAATATTTATATATTTGTTTCCTTATTGACAATCAACTTGTTGTTTCAGCTATGGAATCTAAAACTAAAATGTATGAGCCGTTGCTCCCTTGCATTTGAACATGACTGCTGTATTAGCTTGCCAACTCAGGCATGGTTGCTCATTTTATCATTTTCTTGTAGCAAGAAATCATGGTTGATATAAAGTTGGAATGGTTAGTTTACAACTTTGTTGAAAGTTCTTTGTTATGAGGACTTGCTTCTTTTCTTTGTCATATGTAAAAGTAATTTGAATATTATATGACGGCATACATTTGTCGTTTTAAGAAATTGTGATGGATGTTCTCACTATGTTCTGGCACTTACAAGGGCAAACACTTGGTGAATAAGTGAAAAGACAGATGATTTGATGAAATTATTGTTAGTTTTAGCAGTAATTAGCCAGACTTTCCAGATGTTTGGTACTTACAATCCTCACACTCCTTTCTGTCTTCAGGGATGACCTGACGACATCTGGCTCCCTCCATCATCCAAGCTCTGTCGGGTAGGACAACTCCCCCACATCTTCCCAGAGAGTGCTACATCCTCATTTTCCAAAGACCTCCAACACCCCGGAATTAACCGGTCCCAGCCCCACAGAGACCCTCTGCCAACCCGCTTCACAAAAAAAGTGACAATGTATTGCTTACAGTGGCTACTTCCTGTGCTGCTCATCCCCAAGCCGCTGAACCCAGCGCTGTGGTTCAACCACTCCATGTTCATGGGCTTCTACCTGCTCAGCTTTCTGCTGGAGAGGAAGCCCTGCACCATCTGTGCCTTGGTCTTCCTCGCGGCCCTCTTCCTCATCTGCTACAGTTGCTGGGGCAACTGCTTCCTGTACCACTGCCAGGACACGGCACTGCCGGACAGCGCCCATGACCCAGCGATTGTCGGGACTTAAGAGCGGAGAGAGACATCGGAAAGGGGAATGGGGGGTGCAAAGGGTGATGAGGCATTGCTTGGGAAAGATTTTGCCATGCTGTAAATGGGGACAGGCTACACTTCTAGGGGTTTGAGAGCAGTGTAGAAGAGATGTTAGAGGACTGCGGGATGGGAACACTGCAAATACAGACGGCACTCGGACAAAAGCGGTATTGAGGAAGAAAAGAGCCAGTTTGGGTGAATTACGAGGGGCTCAACAGACTTGAACTTGAGGAGGAGAGGAGGGATGCCAGAGGGGACAATATGGAAACTTTTATGTAACAGGAAAGGAAGTCGTGGCGTCCAAACTTGGAATGCTAAGCAAAGAACGACTGAACTTGAGGAAAGAAGCGTTTCACTTTCATTCAGCATTTGAATGAAAATTAGACAATAAATCCACCACATGTTAACTTAAAGTCACCGCTGTGTTTCAGTATCCCGGTTCCTTGCTTCCGGTATTCTTGTTTACTTCCATCATTGCTCACGGGAGAAGTTGTTTACTTCATTCTGACGCGTCATCTTTTTAAAATGTCAATAAACTGCCACCATTCACTTACTCCTACTGAAAGGGTGTTTTCACTGGCAGCCTTGCTGGCTTTACAGTAACCATACTTTGTACACCAGGTAGTGTTAAAGAATGGTTGACATGTTGGCCCCAGGATTTACAGGAACAGGACAAACATGCTTCTCACAGTCAAACCTGACCAAACTGACGCCATTTTTGCTCTGCACACTTTCCTGAACACGGTGTGCACACAGACACTGGACAATCAATAACTGCTGTGAATAATTCCTCCTTTGCCGCATCGCCACGCAAACACACCTCAGAAGGTGTACGACTGCTGAGGTACTATGTTCTGCAGCTGCCCCTCTTCATCCTCCTCCCGCCTCAGATCGAACGTGCCAGACCTCTACTTTTATTTTTCTTGTGCATGGGTTGCTGTTTTTTTGTTTTGTTCAAGAAATAAGTTCACACATTTTAATCAATTCAGACAAAATGCTGAACTTTTCCAAAGGGTAGAATAATCTGGATGTGTGGAGAATGTGTGTATGAAATAAAATGTGTCTTTTTTGTAGTCATGATAAGCGTTATAAAGGGCGATACACAAGGTGACAGTAATGGGTGGTCAGTGTTTCAGTGTCAAAAAGCAATACAGAGTGCTGGGAAATGAAAATTCTCACTGACAGGTTTATTGGTAATTAATAATAATAATTTCTTACATTTATTATAGCGCTTTTCCAGATGCTCAAAGCGCTTTACAAATACATGTGTAATTGCTCTCAGTAAGAAGGTTCCCTTGTGTATCACTGCTGTAAGTGTTATGTTTAGCTGTCAGGCTAAGGTGTTCATACTGTGTTCCTATTGTGTGTGACTCCTGTCACAGTCCTCAACATGCTCACTGCTACATTATTGCTTTGGTTTTAATTTAAATAAAGTTTTTCCTCTCAACATGTTAAACTGTGTTGGACTCATTCAAGCATAAAACATATATATTTATGTATGCTCAATTCTCCTACAGAAAATATTATTTATGGAAATGATGCACCATGTTTTCGAAAGTCCGAAACAAATATTAAATATTCTATTTGAGAGAAGGATTTAATAGGTATTAAGTAAAATAATAATTTCATAATAGCCTTTAATATTTTCAGTTTCACTTCCGTCATTATACATCTGTATATTTCGGATCAAACTAATGTAAAGCTGTAAATAGCTGGTTGTGAGTTTTAAATGATGCAAGTGAAGTGCAAGCGGAGCTCACGACCTGCTCCCATTTCCTCTCTGCGTTTAACGCCATCATTCACCTCCTCATTTATATTTGTATCCTCCTGTGAACCAGCTGAGAACGTCTCCTGTGTTTCTAAAACAAGAGTGATTTATTGAAAGTACAGCTCTGAACTTCACCCTTGCCTCCTCAGAAGAACTCCTAGCTAAAGTAAACCTTGAGCATCGTTATTTTTCTGTTTATTTTTTTATTTGAGATTTAAAGCCTACAACTTAAAATCTAATCACACTATATACAGTTATAAACCTAAAAGGGAATTAATCCAATTATAATTAATGATGACTGTGCCTTGGACATGCTATTATAATCACATAGAGAATGCATGTTCATGTTGCATGCAATGGAAAAGTCCCAGATACAACACTGCAGTTATTTACTATATTATTAAATGTATCTGGGCTGCTGTATTTCTCAATGTGGCTGTTTTTCTGCCAGAAATGCCTTTAAATTGTGACTTCACTGCGTGAAAAATGTCTTCTAGAAAATAAATACAGATGTATAATTGATTAAGCTTTACAGATTAGAAATACAAGTAGTGTGTACCCAAACATTGCTTTAAAATGCTTTCCCCATCTAATTGTCTAAATGTTCTTATTGTTATTTTCTTTTCAAATCTCAGACCATCTGGCCCTGCAGGAGGGAGATAAAACAAAGCTCTGGTACTTGTTTGTTTTTGGAACACTTTCAAGGTTTTTGTTTTTAAAAAGCTTATCTGCATTTAATTATCTACAAGAAAAAAAGACCAACGCATTCATGCTGTTACACATTATGGCTTCCCTTGGGAATTGGGGTTATGAAAGTAACATTTTCTAACACGAGAGCTTTGGTATTCTGATGATTTTGATCCAGTTTTATGTCCAAGAATACTCTTAAGAGATATGATGAGATTTGAACATACCGAGTTTTCTTTTTAAAACCTTCATAGACCAAAAGCCTGTTGACCTGTATTGAGCTATCAAGACTGAAGAAAAACCTAATTTGACGCCTTAAGTTCCTCTGCCTTGCAATAAAAAAGCTCTCTAACTCCTTCTTCTTCCCAGGCCATTTTATTGACCTCACAAACATTCCTTAAATGTCCCAGTCAGAGAGGTCCCAGGTCAGTTTAGCCAGATCTACTCTGTGGGCAGTGAAAGCATCCTTACTAAAGTGCAGTTTGATCAAACGGCCAACAGAGGGCAGCACATGCTCTGTTTCAGTGGAGATACCTTTTTCTATGGGCCATATGCTATGCTATACTTAGAATATTTTCACCGCTTTAACTTGCTGAAAGACAGCCCTTTTAGACGCCTAACTGGAGACTTTAAATCCACTCCTGTACTGTTCAAAGCCAACACACTGCATTAACAAAATCATTTTAACTTGCAGAAAAAGGAGGTTGCTTGTTAACCGCGTCCCTGCTCGGTTATTGTGTTTAAAGGGTCCCTATTATGCTTTTTGGGGTTTTCCCTTCCCTGTAGGGTTATATAGGTTTTTGTGAATGTAAATGGTCTGCAAAGGCTAAAATCCCAAAGTTCCCTCCACAACCCCCCCCCCCCATACTTGGAATGCCTCCATTGGACTCCTTATTTACTTCTGTAACATAGTGACATCATCTTCTATTGGCTAGCTCACCAACACATTGTACATGATATACAAGAAATAATTGAAACATATATTGATTATGAAAACAAGACAGTTTAATCAACTGGATTCCGGCTGGTGGCATATAAATATAGTTTGGGGTAAAATCTATTGATTACTTGCAATTTTTTTTAATAATAGTAAGTTATAGGAGTTGATGTTTTAAATCAATGAAATTGTCAGTTAAGGTTTTTTAAAGCGTTTCTATTCTTTATGCAGCACTACAAATCATACATTTACGATGTATTGTGATGAGTGCAATGCATCAGGATCGTCCCCCCCTTCAATCATCATGGATACAAATCAATGCACACATATATCTCAAATGACGATACACTTTCATCAGCCCACAACATCCAGCGCTTAGGGCCGCCTTAATGCACGGGCTGACCTGGGCTGAAGCCCAGGGGCCTACGGAGATCGGGGGCCTATCATGAGCCAATAAAATAAAAATAAATCAACTTTTTCTTTTTATTTCGGATGTTTTAAAAAAAAAATTTGAATAAACAAAGTCTTGGCTTTCAGAATATGAAACTTTCATTTCCAATATCACACGATAAATACATTTTTGAAGCTTGTAAAGGGAAGAAGATAGCTCTCCCTCGCCACTCTGCTGTTCTACTGTTCCCCTCACTCCGCTGAAATTATGAATGTAAGAGTATAGTAATCATAGATAACACGGCAGGGTCCGTTACAGTTTGTTTTCATCTGTTTTCAATTAAACAAAGTCTTAGCTTTCAGAATATTAAACTTGTTTCGGCAAATTCAGACGATAAATACAACTTTGAAGCTTGTAACGGCATAATTACAAGCGGAGAACGGAGTAACAGCCGGTGTTTCTCGTGAGTGTTTTCCCCGGGAAACAAACACAATACACACAAACGCAAACATATACAAACACACGTGTATACACACACACACACACACACACACACACACACACACACACACACACACACACACACACACACACACACACACACACACACACACACACACACACACACACACACACACACACACACACACACACACACACACACACACACACACACACACACACACACACACACACACACACGTGAGCTTCCCCCAGACCAGTAATCCAAACGAAAATATCTTCCCCCCGTAGTATTTTGATAATTTGCTCCGCTAATCAATCAGATCGATGGATTCCAGAGATTTTTCTCAAAAATGATGTAACAGTCAGTGGGCACCACTTAACAGCCAATCAGAATGAGAATATGTTTCACATGTGACTTATTCAAATTGTGAGTGACAGATGAAGGTTGTTTAGGAGAAAATGTTGGAGAAGAAAAAGTTTGAGAGTGGCGCTCGGAAATGGAAATTGTTGAGGGAAAAGGAGTTTCGAGACAAGCAGCTATTACAAAACATGCCGAAGCTGACAGGTTATTTTAAACCTGTAGGCCAGGATGAGGAGGAAGTACAGATGAGTTCTGTACCGAGCGGCAGCGGTGCCGGCCGCGGGGCCTCGGAGCCAAGTAGGCCGTCTGGTTCTGATAGCGATGGAGTAGCGGGAGAGGAAAAACAGACAGGAGGGACATTATCTGTTGGAGGAGATGGAGAGGACGACGAGGATTTGCTACGTGGAGGGGAGCCAACGGCAACCGGACAAATACATGAGGGAGGCCCGATACGTCACTGGAGGAGAGGACCAGGCGCGCGTAGAGCAGAGTGGAGAAGTGCGATCACAGAGCCTGCCGAGGCTATAAATGACTTTGATTTGTTGTTTAAATAGGGGGCCTACAAAAACTATCAGCCCCAGGGCCTGATGGCAGGTTAAGGCGGGCTTGCCAGCGCTGCACTCATATCATCTACAAAACACAAAACTTGCTGACAAATTTTGCCTGTAAAGAATGGATTTAGGATTTAGGTGAGTAAAACCTCTTACGTCCTGTTTGGCTGCCTGCCGGAGTTGTCGATAATCTTTTGGCGTCCCTAAATGTCACAGCTCCTGTTTGTTGAAATATTTAAGCAGCCATGCTAGATGATGAAAATAAGAAAAACCCTCCAACAAGTTTTTTTTCTAGAATCCTTCTGCAGGAGGTTTATTTCCTCTTTTAAAACCTGACTGTCAGACAGGAAGAATTCAGGCAGATTTATTTAGTCTCTCAGGGTTTAATGTTCACAGGATATTTGAATGTTAGGGTTATGCTATTTAATCACACATTATACATTATGTGAAATAATAATAATACATTTATCCTTAATTAAAAAAAGAAAAGAAAACAGCCATATAAACCTTTTTTAAACCATATAAAGCAGGACAAATGTTACAGCTGCATGAGGCGTCTTAGCAGGTTAAATAGTGGCACTGCAATAGACAACATAACTTCTTATTCTTTGTACAAAACTCTTCATATTTCACCAATATAAATTCACGTTCAGTAAACTCTCTCGCCAGCGATCCAAAGTCACCATCTTTAGATCTTCCTCTGAACTCGTCCCTTTTGGTATTTGTCATGAAGGTAGCACAGATTTAGTCAACAAACAAAATAAAGTACCATTCCTCATCCTGGCATCCCCCTCGGGCACACATTTTCTTTACATTTAGTCTCTCCCCCTGTCTTCAGGATCACAGAGACACTTCATGTTGGATCCCATCAGAAAAAAGACCTTCTTAAAGTCTGCTCTTTGTTCCTATAGAAAGGTGATCTCAGTCTCTTGGTTCTGGTACGCCTCCTCCTGCATCTCAGTGTACAGCTGGTCCATCCTCTGGAAGGCCAGGTAGCCCTTTTTACCTGCAGATGCACAAAATGAATGTTTTATAAAAATATGATGACATAAAATACAAGTGAATAAACTACTCCATACAAAATAATGATGTTTGTACCGAAAGAGAGGACAGTTTCTTTGGCAGCGCTGCGCAGATCTTCATCTGTTGATTTCCATAAATCTGCTATGTAGTCCACACTCTCTGTCGCCTGGCAAGCACACACACACACACACACACACACACACACACACACACACACACACACACACACACACACACACACACACACACACACACACACACACACACACACAC